CAGGCCTTTTCTTTTGCAGCTCCGTACACAAATCACGAGAAGAATACTGCACAGCGATACCATCTAATCTCCTGTAAAGAAGTGAGATTATCTTGTTGTATAAGTCCTCTCTTCTTCAGCTCTAAGCACTTTGAAACTTCTTCTGGAAAATCTTTCTGTGACGGAAAGAGAAATGAGAAAATGGTGTGTAGGAAGGTGAGAGACTGTGTGGTGTGGTTTGGTTTGACTTCCACCTGCCTCAGGGGCGTATTTACTTTTTCTAGGTGTAAGCACGGGTGCTAGGCTAAAAAGTCATTAGTACGAATTAAAATGAATTACAGAAGAGTATGGCTGAAATTGTAATTGTACTAATTTATTATCTGTACAGTGGTGTGGCAGTCAAGATATCATTCGGATATACTGCTATTTGTCAGCTTTTGGGATTTATTTTACACTAGAATAGATCTGCATCTTCTTTTAACTCTGAACACATTTTTTCATATAATGACATTTTTATTACTATAAATATACATTTTGTTAAAGGGGTCATAATGTGAGAAATCGAATTTGCCTTGATCTTTTGACATATAGGAGATCGTTTTGATATTGCGGGATCTATGACATCACATGGGCAAATACATTTGCATATGACTGCCTCCTGAGCAACACATTGACCAATACTTCATGAAACCATAGGCCACACCCACTAGCACCATAGGCCCCGCCCACTGTCATTCAGTCGCTTAACGGCTGACATTTGTGTACACCGGATGCGAGCGTTGTGTCAAAACAATAAAGAAACCATTATAATCACTTACGCTGTCTACACTGGATACAGTATACAGATGCGCGTTATCCATGACACTGCATGCACTTTGAGGTCCTTAGAAGTCTTCTAGCTCTCTCTTGAAAAAGGGGGTCCTGATCTTGTGATCAGTGATATTTTAAAGCATGAAGATGTCACATCCTCAGGAGGTGAGCAAGCCAATGAGGAGTTGTAGTTTCAGATGGAAAGTTTACGATCTTTTGTCTTCTAGCAGGGTGTTTTGCATATGAAATTGGCAGTGATGGATGCAACGCATGACAAGTAATACAAGTTACATAATCAGATTACTTTTAAAGTAATCCATTACTTTTAAATTTACAACAATATATTTTATTGTTGTTACTTTTTCAAATAATTAACGCAAGTTGTCCCATTTATCGACGGATAGATGCAGCCCAGGCTCAATAACAATGTACCAGTTGCAACATATTTTGCAAAACGCTAAATATGTTGCGTCATGCATGTTTCGCGACGCTAAAAGCGGGTTTAGTTTTTTTTTTTTTTTTTGTCATCTGCACAGAAACAGATTCAGTATTCCTCAAAATGAATAAAAATAGTGAAATGCATACTCTATACTTTATGTATTTAATCTCTTTGTTTGTGTGTTTTTATTCCTGAAGTAAGAGTGTTTCTTCTCCTGCGTCCTATTCTTCTGCAGTCCAGAAAGTTGTGCCCTCTACTGTACAGGATTTCATCCAGCCTGAGGCTTATTCATTTCACTTTTGGTGTGAAAGAGCCACATTTGCCAAAAATATAATGTTAAAAATAGCGTTTGGGTTGATTTGACAAAAGAAAAAAGTTACGATAACAAATCATGACAATAACTTTTTACAGTTTTCTATAACTTAAGCCAGGGGAAAAAGGTGTTTTCTCTACATTAGATCAACAGTATTTCACCTTCATACAACATCCTGACATAGCAGTGTTTGCCAGGTTTTTGTGCAATATGTATCAGACAATTAATTGACACCTGTGAAAAAAGTCTTCAGGCTTTTGAAATCGCAAGATGCACTGTGTTGATGGCAAGTGCAAAACCAAAGATCATTAAAATGTAGTGTCAGTGACTTTCTCCCGGAGAAAATTAAAAATAGGCTTTGTTTTTGTCCCTTAAATGTAGAAGAAGCCCTTTTAAACTGCATTGGGTTCGCATAAAATTATCTGTGTGTAATATGCTTGGATGATTAGTCGATCTCATTTTGTTTCAAGGTGCGAAATAACACATTAAGCAGATATTCTGCTGAACCTCGGAGAAAATAACCCATGTTAAATGACCTCCTACAGCTAGATCTAAATGCAGCCGAATATAACTTCATAGAAACTGAACACTGGAGTTGATTAGACATAGATGATTTCACAGTGTCCATGGGAAACGCTTCATTCAGTCCCTCATCTGTTTCATTTTTATCTGTACTTGACCTGGCAATGTGTCTTCAGTCTGCGATTTTCTCAAACTAAGATGATGATGAGCACTTCGCCCGCTCTGCACAGTATAAGAGAATTAATATTCATATAAGACCAGATAAAGACGAAAGCTTTCTTCTTGATCACAGCACGAAAGCAAGCCAACATCAAATTCAACCTGATGTGGAAAAAGCTATACTGGTGTGAATGTTGGACACGGTCCAAAGAAGCTCAAATAGACCTTTTATTGCAGAGTGTGGAACAAAACATTTCTTCAGGAGCAATAATATATAAAAAAATAAATAAAAACAGATGCAGTTAGGAGAAGCTCATATTGAATTTTTATAAATGTATTTATATAAATACTCATGAAGAAGATTGTTTTCTCCTTCAAATGTTTGAGAAATTGCAACCCGGCTTACAGTCGAACTATTTACTTGGGTTTAGTTCATTTCACAATGTGAACAGCAGACAGCAAATTAACAAAGAAAGTCTTTCACTGCAACGGTGAAACCGCTTACTTCTAGAGTTGATAACCTGCATTAAGATTCATACTGGGCCATGAAACCTGAGAGTGGAAAAAGAAATGAAACAAATGTCTTTGTATTCCTTTATGTAGGCCTTTGACAGGCGAAGCAAATAATAAGTATAAGGTGATAATAATATGTGTGTGGGATTTGTAAATGCAATATGTAAAGTTTTTGCACATTTGAGCGGCACTTCAAAATGCATGCATTCGATTTCCGAGTAACCACAGGTGTTGTTCATCACATTAACTATGAACACGATCCTCTATAATTTGTCAATTTTTTTCTTGAAAAGTGTGCATGGCATATTTTTCTTTGAATAATGTCACTTGGTTTGATAAGTGTTTTAAGGGTGGCTTCAAGGCCCCATAAAATTGCTCGTCTAAGTGCTATTTTTTGGCCTGTGCTGATGTATTTCCTGTTGCAACAGGAAGTTGTGATAGGAAATATCTTCTTTTTAATATAACAACCAATACAAACATGAACCGATATTACTACTAACTAGGTGGTATTAGGGGGAGGGAATTCTCAGAGAGAATTTGATTGGACAAAAATCTGTGTAACATGCTTAATCAATATTTTTTTTTATCAGTTTTTCCTACTTTAACCCTTTTTTTTGCATGCGTAATGAAAGCAGTGATTTGATTTCATAATAATACATTTTATTGCATAACATGGGCCTTGTTACTGTTGACACAATGTTGTTTCTATGCAACAAATGCAGTCCTTCATAAGATACAAATACTTCATATGACTCTGTTTAAAAACTATGTTTACTCACTAACAAATGTGAATCATTCTTAATTTTGTAATGGGTAAAAAAAAAAATTCAATAAAAATGCTTTTCTGGACTAAAAATGTGCATTCTCCACATGCCAGATAACAAGATAACAAGCCGGCAAAAAAAAACAAAAAAAAAAATGTTATTGAACGCCTTTTCATTATTAACCATTTCTTGCCCTCTTAAATATATCATGTCCTGGATGGAAATAAACTAGATTTGAAATATAGATCGGAGTCGAAATTACTAAAATAAAATAAGACACATTAAACTACCAAGATAGGTAAGGTAAACGGTTGCAGTCAATTATACAGTTTAGCACCATTATACTGTATATCTGACCCGAGAATGCTGTACCTGACCAATCACAATCAGATATTCCAGAGAGTTGAGTAAAATAAAGAACCATATATAGAAACTGCAAACAAAAATCTGCCAAATTCTGGCTGGGTCTTTATCTGTGCTCCTTTTATTAATAGTCAGATGATTCTAGATTCAAATCACTTAGCCTTTGGTATGATTACTGAAATGTAAATGTGCTATCCCAACTTGTATTGTCTAATCATTCAGTGTATGACCGCCTTTAGCTGCAGTGCGAAGCCAATTGATTTATTTGATTTTATATAAAAGAACATTGAGTTTTAAAACACTGTCGTGGTGTGCTTTGCATGCAGTCACACGTTCTCCTCTGTAATTCAATTTTGTTCTTCTCTGGCACATCTTATAACACCTTTGCCCAGTCAATATCTGGTTTTGCTTTCTTTAACACATTAAAGTATAATTATCCTCAGTGACATATCGCTATTGCCGTCTCTCTACTGCAAGCGATGGGACAAACACGGCTGAAGTGGGATGGTTGTAATCAGCACTGTTTTTGCAGCCTGGTCTCACAAATAAAACGTACTATGCATACGTAAATAAAAACGGTCAAATACGTATGATATGTTACGTATTTACAGTGCCTTTTACGTATCAAATGGACGTAATTGCAGGTTCGAAACGTATCTAAATGTACGTAAAAACAACCTAAAATACGTACAGATAGGACGTGTTTTGACTGGTCAGTAGCCTACTCCGTAACCAGTAACAAGGAATAAGCAGGCTTTTTTAAATGCGTATCTACTTAATTTTATATTGAAGACTTGATTTTCTACTTGGCCTTGTGAAATATGAATTATAAACATTATGATGTCGTTGTTTTGTTTTGATTTGATTTTAAAATAAATAATAATCTGACGAAACCAGAAAAGACCGCGTTCCCGACCGGATTCATTTCAGAGTTGCAACAGATTCCGAGACGGTGTTGACATTTCAGGTTCAGGTGAGGACATTTATTTATTTATGTGAATATATTTATAATAGTTATCTTTTTTTTTATGAAATATGTTCCAAGTAGTCAGCTGTTGTTTTTTGTCAAAGAATGACGTATTTCTGGCTTGCAATAGAAAAGTGACAGATTTTTTTCATGCATTTGTAGTGTTTTAATTTTATTTTTATATTTTACATTTTCAGATCACACTTCTTAGATGATAATGTCACAAGAGCTTGATGGACAACTAATTAGAGGTCGCGCAGTTGCGGAAAACCTCGATAAAGCGTATGACCGCTGCCAAATGGACGCCCTTCTTAAACAAAGCAACACTGACCCTTCAAAAACCGACCTTTGTCAAATGGTTAAACAAGGGCAAACAGTTATTCGTTGTCTTGACAATGAGAGTTCAAGGAACGATCTCGACACTCTCATAAAGGAGTCCAAACAGCTGTTTGGACGACCAACCCTGAATGGCCCAAAGGTCCAACAAATGATGGTAAAATAATGTCGTATTTGAACGCAATCAGTATATACAATTTGACTGAAAATTTTAAGATTATTATGAAAGATGGATGGAACAATGTATATAATTTAATTTACATTGTGTTATTAATTTAACTGATTATGACAGCCCGATTAATCTTTATGTGTAAAAATAAGTGTCAAGTTTCTGAAATAGAAGACGTAGAGTCTTAATGATGCACAGATATTGTGTAATGTATGATATTCACAGACAAAGAAAAAAATGACCCAGTCCAGATTCAAAGTCAGAAGGAAAACTAAAGAGAAATCATGTCTTCAAAGAGGAAAACCTTCTACGTCACATGGTAAGGTTTTGTCATCCTAAAGGAAAATAATGTATTGTATTGTAAAGCTTTTTTATTATTGTTATTAGTATTATTTTATAACTAAGATGTTTTGACTGACTTTTATTTTCATTAATCAGATGCAAGAGTCAACAAATCAAAGGCTGGTCCAAAGGCAACAGAATTGCTTCAAGACCAGGGTCCAGATCATGGTAAGACATATGATTTATTTATTATTATTTTTATTTGTATTAAACATTTATTAGGTGTTATTTTAAAGTCCTGTCTTTATTTTTTTTGTATATAAATGATAATTTTGACATTTGTTCCTGATGTGCAAAGCTGCAGAAGCCCCATATGATTATTATTTATGATACTGCTATAAAAATAGTCCATACATGTTTTGCTTAAACTTCAAAAAATCTGATAAGAACAACAGTGCCTTACAATGCAATAAAAAGCAATGCTCTGTATTTAGGTAACAGCAATGGATAATTAGACAGTGGTGTACATAATTTGATATTGTTTTTTTTGTTGTTGTTGGGTGTGACAGAGTCTCTTCTACACGAGTTACAAGACTTGCTGTCAGCTGCTTCTTCTAACCTTAATTCTGAGAGCACACAACCATCAGCATCACTGCATTGGGGTAAAAGGACATTAGCTGCATCAGAAAGATGGAGGGAGGCTAGACCATCTTTAATCGGCAACAGACTTGCAACAGAACATATCGACATGCAGATGTGTTCAGAGTGCAAGGCAAAAGTGGCGGTGGTAAAGTGTAAAGACTGTCTGCCTAAGCAGTATACCTGCATTGATTGTGACTGTGCTGTTCACCACACACAAGTACTTCACAACAGAAGCACAATGATTTCAGGTTTCCACAAGGCTGTACCACCAACCACAGTGGTGAAACAGGACTCTAATGGGCAATATTCTCACCATCATGAAGGTATTGTCTTATTTTAGTTTTTAAGTTAAAATTATTTAATTAAATGCTTTTTAATCACATTCATATATTGGTCCTTGTAAATGTATTTCTTAGTAAAGTCACATAACTACAAGCTGTCTTTGTTTTTCTTGAACTTGTTTTATTTTTTTATCGTAGATCGACTCTTACCAATGGCACTTCCAAAGAATATATGCAATTGTGGAGAGGACATGTGCTGTGTTGGTGTAGGGAGGGCCATTACTCTAGTCAACATGAAGGGTGAGCCAATGAGTGAGCAGATAATAAAATATGCCCTTTAGCATGCATGTTTGTTTATTGGAAAAGTATAATATATGTATTCTACTTTTTAAAAATGTCCTTGGTACTATTTACCAATTATTATTTTTGCTTCATTAAGCTGTACCACAGGTACAGCAGTAGCCAATTTGTGTATTTAAGTTGATGAATATTAAACTAACATGCTGGTTTGCTTTACAAGCACATCTTTGAGGATATAGTATCTATAATACCAACACCTTATTTGTCTCATTTGTTTGGAGCATCCTTGTCTAGAGAAGACAAACAAGTTAAGTCATTGGGAAAATCAGAATCAGTGCTGAGTCTTATTTAATTTAAATGTGTCTGTAAACTGCTGAATTATTAAAACCAAAAGAAAAAACTTCTGCCTGTTCTAACCCTGCTCAGCCAAAAACAAATGTAACTAATAATTCTCTATTATTTAATAATTATAATGCCATACAACACATCTGCACTGGTCAGGCCTGACTGGATCTTGTGGTTAATTTCCACCCCTTACAATAGTATGCAAATCTTTTTTTGCCTTTTTTAAAACTGTGAGTTTGGATTTGGATCATTTGCATTCTGTCATCATACTTTATTATTAAATGTAATTTACAATTATTTTACAGGTCGCTACGACCTGTCATTGCCCAATCTGCACTGTCGAAAATGCAAAGAAACATGGATGCCAGGTGTGTTCGAATTGCAGAAGAGTGGCTACTGGCCTGCAACCCTGAACTTTTGCACCATTTATGATGAGGAAGTCTTCATGTCCTTTGAAGACTTGAAAATGGCTGCTCCAGGATTGTCTCGTTTAGCATTCATGCGAATGCTTGACATGAAGACGGTGCATTATGGCAGAGTGAGTACCTTTCTCATTTACTGATCTCATACTATTATTCTTGAGTTCCAACCTCATGCAAGCAATGTATGGCCCTGTTTACCCCTGATTTTAAGAAGCGTTTTGATTGACTGGATCACAGGTAGATGAGGGAGACACATTCCCATTTACACCTGTTTTTTTAATCCGTCTCTTGTCCACTTTCACCCACTTCTGTCCTGATTTTTTTAGAGTGGAATGTATATGGGCTTTATATACTATATATAGCCCATATACATATATACATTTAGGTGGAGCGTGTTTTTAACTACCTCTGGAAGTGTTCAAAAGTGGACAAGCTCAAAACATTTTAGACCCCGGTTAAATCTGTATTTATCGTCGATCACTTGTGATCTGACAAACGAAAATCCATCTTTTGTTAACATCAATGACCCAATGTTAAACTGCTGAACTCCTGGGATAAAAAAAAAAAACAGTGAGAAGTATCATTAAAAACACCTTGATGACAGAAACAATTGTCAGACTGGTTCAAACTGGCAAAGTCTATGGTAACTATTCTGTACAATTGTGAACAGAAAATAATAGCACTGTAGAATGCCTTTTCTTGCTATTTTGGTTGTACAAGGAGGATCTACATAACGTTATTCTGATGTTATTGATGATCAGCATATTTAAAGGCCATGTTGCAGGCTAACCACCACTGTTGATTAATGTGAACATAAATCACTCAAGATATGTATATCATTTTTAAAAAGTCTCAAATGGTCTTAAAGACCAGTTGTACACGTTTCTGGTATTAACAGGTTTTTTTTTTTACGCAATTCGGTGATGACGTCACGTTGGGGAGAAGTGGAGGAAAGGGTGCCTCAGCCTAGTATTAGAACTATGGCGACTGACTGGGATGAGGAAGAGTTGGCAAGAAGAGCCAACATGCATGATAGCCCGCAGCCGTACAATTTAGAACCTGCTAGACGTGAGAGGGCAAATGATGTCAATCTACTATATATTTCTATCTAGCTGCTAACTTTAGCTATATCTGCCAACGTTATGCTGTCTGCCTATCTCTCTCTATACTTGTCTATCTATATATCTAGTCTGTTTATATATCTAGTCTATCTATATATTTATCTCTCTATATCTATCTACTTATCTATTTATCTATAATCTGCGCAATCTGAATACTCTCGTGTTCTACTCGTCGCTCTCAACAAGGCGGGCTTTGGAAATTCTCTCCCCAAGGTGATGTAATGCAATGCATTGTGGGGGAAAGGAGAACCGTTGCAAACTGCTGTAATATAGTACCTACTTTTTCGTATTATATTCCGTTTTGTGATACCCAACAGCATAACATACAATGATAACAGTTTAAATGTTTATTACCAACAAGCAAATTGCACAAATTCGTTAAAAAATTAACCCTGCAACATGGCCATTAACTTATAGAAGATAGTAAATATGGAGAAGACTTACAGAATTCTAGGCTTGGTCATTATAATATTACTATGTATCTTTTACTAGAATGGCACTTTATGTGGTGATACATTTTTGAAGAGCTTTTTCGAATGGTCCATATGCCGTTATGAGGTTGACAAGATCTGCAGTGAACAACATTTCACGTGCCCAGCTTGTACCCCTCTAATGCTGGCAGTTGCTGTGGATGGTAATAGAAAACTTCACCGTTTTAAAAAGGCTGGGAAGTAAGTGTGGTGTTGTTGTTGTTGTTGTTGTTGTTATTATTATTATGAGTTTTACTTTTTGTATGGCAATAAATAATTGTATTAAAATTATTATAATTTAAAAAAATGTTATACTATTATGACTTAAAGGAGCTGTATGTAAGAAATGTATTTCAAATAATCATAAAATGGCCCTGATATGTCACTAGACATTAAGAAATCATGTTCATTTCAAATACTTATATCACTGACAACAGTAGTCCGGCCAGCATTTTGTCATTTAAAAAGTGAAGTTGCAGCCCTCAACTGATGTTGATGTTCACAGATCTACCAATCATGCAGTGGTGTTGCAGCATAGTTACCACAGCTGCAGATACAAACATGTGGGATAAAAAAAAATGCTGGATCCTGCAGCCTATCTGGCAACCTCGAGTCAGGGGGATGGGGAGGGGATACACCGCTCTACAGTAATTTGAAAGTGATTGCAGTACCAGTTTTGGCCACAAACTTACATACAGCTCCTTTTAATGTCTTGTGTAACTAGTACAAAGACCTTGGAGCAGAATGTTTCAAAGGATAGTTGTGTTCTTTCTATTATTGTCACAACAATTCTTTGAATTACACTGAAATAGTTTTTTGTAGGTTTATGTTCATTGTTGTTTAAAAATCAAATCTAAAAAAATCTATCTAATTTTGTTTTATTAGTTCAGAAGGCTCTGGCTACTTCGACGGGTTGTTTCTATGCAAAGATGAGGATGTTTCATCTTTTGTTCAATATATCCGTGAAAAAGTGCAACATGTAAGTGCACTACACTGCCTCAGATTGCTTGCAAGTACACAGTATGATTTCATATGTTTGTGAAAAGTTTTATACACTGATTTCACAAGTATAATGTCTACACAATTCATGATCAAGCCTATCAGCTTATTTTCTGTCTATCCCAAATGCCTGTTTTTCCTTTTATTTTTATATTTCACGTAGGTGGGAGGCAAAGGTGTTTGTGGTTCTGCAGAGTTTGCAGCTGCCAAAGAGTCTTCCAGAAAGACCAGCAGTAAACTGGATGAGGAGGGCATTGAAGTTGCTGTCTGTCGGCATGGTGTTCTTTTGAGGGCACTCAATATGTTCAGAGGAGAGATCTATGCCTATCCTTTGTACTTGCAGAAAGAACTCTGCACAGAAAATTCAACTTTCTTTTGTGCTGACATCATGTGCAAATACTGGCCATACTTAATTAAAGTGTGCCAGGCCTGCCCGGAACTGAGACCTCTTCTGACCATGAAGCCATTCCTCTCAGTTATGCATGCGAAAGTACATGGCATAAAATGCGAGGTAAATTACACCAATGTGTTCATTTGCCTATTTAAATGTTGTTTTATATTCTGATAAAGCCTGTATGTACTAAACATTTTCTCACTAAATAGATAAAATGGAGTGGAAGCTTCCAAACGGGTGCTGCATATACCATGGGAGAAGAAGTAGAACAAGCGAATAGCTTTTTATCAAGGATTGGTATAAGCACTAAGTTTATGTCCAAAGGAGGTTAGCAAGTTTATTTGTAATATTGCCTTTCCAAATATTTCAATTTTCTAGTAACATTTAACCCAATAAATATGAGACTTTGGTATTTGGTGTAAACATTACATATGTTTGTTTGATTGACAGGACGCACAGATTTGCTCACGTTGCAGTGTATGGGGTGGAACAAAATGAAGGTGCAAAATCTGTGCCAAACTCTTTGCACAAGATACCAAAAGGCAATGTTTATTTATATTATTCTTTATTACCTGTGTTAAATGTGAAGCATCAATCTCTTCCAAAGTTCCAGAAACTACTTGAATTTTCTGGCATTTCTCACAAAATATCATGTCTACATCTCATTTAATTTATAGACAGACACATTGTTAAATTGATCAAATTATTCAATTGTTCTTCATTTTGATTATACCTTTCAAATATTCAGATCATAGTTTGAAAAAAAAAATTTATGTGAAACCCTCAACAAAAGCTAATTGCAGTTGGAATTGGTTATCGACAGTCCAGACTGTAAACCAATAGATATGCTGTGGAATGATATCTAGAGAGCTATTTAGACCAGATATTCTAAAACGTAGCTGAGATGAAGCAGTTCTTTAAGGCCACTGAAACTCTCGGTTGATGTTATTGCTGCTAAAGGTTGAAATGTTATTGCTGCTAAATGTGCTAAAACACCAGGGGTGTAACAATATATCGTGCCACAATATATTGCAATACAAAAATGCAACAATACGTAATGTGGATAGTGACGATACGTATCGTGGAGAGTCCCCCACAAATAAAAATTACCGTGTGAGGAAAAAAATTCTAGTTTTAGTGTCAGTTCTACATTGAACTACTATATATAATGTATAATAATGCAATGTGGGTATATTTGTGGGTCCTGATATTGCCAAATGTCTGATGTTACCAGTAAAAAGTGGCTGACATTATTTTAAATATATTTAGTCAGTGAAAGAGTGCAAGCATATTCATCTAAAATAATTCTGTATTTTCAGACTCAGAATCATGAATATTTTTAAATTGGTGTCACCATTGTCCTTGGGTTACAAGCACCAAGTCCAAGCCTATTCATTTAAACCCACAATGTAATATCAAATTTAGCATTTTAATCAACAGTACATTTTTGTTTACCTTTTATCATATGTCTTGGAGTATCGCAATAATATTGTATCGTGGGTTCAGTATCGTGATTCTGTATCGAATCGTGACATGATGGTATCGTTACACCCACTATAAAACACATATTCTTTGCAATTTCACTTTTGCCACGGCTCTGATAATGTTTAATGGGATATTCAATTTGATAGTATTTCAAAACATTAAAAATTATATATTATTTTAATTATAAGCACATTTTGATTTGCCTATGCTTTTGGCTTTCATGAAGATGAGATGACATTTTGTGATCCATTTATGCAGAAAACCAACTAATCACATACTCTTGCCATTGTAACTAACTCACTGGTTTACTGGTTTGTATGTTTCAGACTCAGCAGAATCTCAAAAAAGAGACTGAAAGCCTACATGAAATGAAAACCGAACTGGCTGTAGATGATGGCGTACTCCATCAGTGGGTCACAGATGTACAGGAGTGGGCACACACTAGTATGTAACCGCTACAATAAATACATTTATACTGTAATTTAGTGTACAATTGCAAAACACTATCACTGCAGTGCTATAACTTGTGATTGAACAAGCAGTTTTATAAATTGATTAACACTGAGATGTCTTTTTTTCTTCTTTTTTTAAGCAACTGTTAGGGACTGTGATGCTACAATTCAGCCAATAAGGAACACAATAGAAGAATTGTCTTTGTGCATTAAACAACGGAAGCATCGTCTTTACAGACACACTGGTATTTTAAATATTTAGGGAGAAACGTTGTTGTTGTCTTTGTCGTTGTTATTACTGCTACTGCTACAATTATTGTCGTTAACAGTAACAAATAGTCATAGGCAAAATGTCTAATGTCAATTCATTATGTTTCAGCTACAAACAAAGGACGAAATAAAATAAGAAGAAAAATAAACGAGGAGAGAAAGAAGCTGGCTTCTGCAGTTGAGCAGCACAATGCCCTTGCTGACCCTTCCACTAACATTGTGTCTGTCGAGGAGGTCCTTCAAAATGACTATGTTTTCCCCTGGCAGCTAACAGTGCCAGGTCAGTGATGCATAGCATAGGTATTCACATTAAAACATTTTGTCAATATGTCTTTTGATTTACATGATATACCTGTATTTTGTAGATGATGTCAACCTCTTAACAAAGAAGAAGGTCTTTGACAAGGTGATGCTAATTCGACGACTAGAGGAAGAAAAGATCATCCTTGTTCAAGAGGCAAAGCAGCACTGGCTTTATCTAAGAAGTCAGGAACAAAAACTGAGCAGTTTGCTTGATAGCATCATTTCAGGTGGTAAGAATTGCTAAAATTGCTTTTGTCAATTTAAAAAAAAAATGCATATTTCGTAACTGATCCCACATGAAATGTTAACTTAATTGTCTTTTTTTGTGTGTTTGTTTTATAGTTAACCCCTGGAATCTTCCAGATGATGGGATTCAAGGACTTCGGTGTGTGTTGCAGAGAAAATTACATCAGCTAAGAGCACACCAGGACACTGTTAACATAAGTTATCAAGCAATAGACAGCATCACGCAACACATTGCTGTTGAAGAATGTGATTATGGAAGCTGGCCAGAACACCTGGAAGCCCTTTACTCAAGCAGTACTGATCAGAGCTCTGATGAAGATGACTAACTTCTGCTGTAGTTATTAATGTACATTGCATGTTGTCTGTCTTTCTCGCTTCATATGTTCTCCCATTCTTTTTCTCCATATTTATGTTTCCTTGCTCTTACTATATCTATATCTATATATATATATATATATATATATATTATTCACACATAAATATGTCCTCTGTGTCTGCATGTGTGCATTTGTGTGCTTGTACTGCAGGAGACAAAAAGGTTAACTGAGTAGGAAGGGGCATTAAGAGGCTAATATGAAGTAATCCATTTTGTAAAAACAAATTCTTTCTCTTTTCCAATGGGATTCACAGACATGTAAACTATAGTGGAATGCTGGGATTGGGGAAGGTATGAGAAGTGGTTTGAGAAATACATTTTTTTTTTTTTTTGATGGTGATTATTACAAAAAAAAATGTTAAATGTTGTTAAATAAAAATATAAAAAGTGGCCAAATCTAGTAGTTTGTTTGAGTGACAACTGATTTCTATGTGAAATTTACAGTAGGAAGTATGTTATACTTTTTCTACTACAGGCTATTAGATTTAAATTTTTAATACAATATATTTACACACACACACACACACACACACACACACACACACACACACACACACACATAAAGAGTATATAAACTAAAAGTTTAACTAACTTTGTCTTTTATAAAAAAATCTTTGTACTATGAATAACCACCTTCATCGTCTAACCGTATATTTGTCACGTGATTTCTGTTACTTTTTCCACCGCTAGTGAGGATAAACCAACCGGTTCCCAATTCATTCTCATCAATGTAGAATGATATGTGTGTGATGTTTTAATGATACACACTTCAATTTAACGTCGGTCAGTCGGTGCAATGGGATCATTCATTTAGTGATTTTAACATCTAAACAATGTATACATATATAACAATATATACAAATAGCAATACACTTGTATGTTGTTTATTTTGATATTAGTGTTCACACATTAGCCTATGACATAAACCTTTGCACATAGGCCTACCCTTCACCGACCCTATGTTTAATGTTTTGTCAACTCATAATTGGTCAGTAGTTTACCCAGATAGGACCAGATAGCTACATCTATGAGATGTCTATATGCATCTTTTCATTTGGAATATATATTTTCAGGAGTGTTTGTTCATGTTAAATAGACATTTAAAAACAGCAGGCTGTCCTTGCAAACCACACAGAAATACAGTATGTCACACGCTATATGGAGCAAAGATAAGGATAGGCTACCAGTCCAGCAGTTTTTTGTTGCAGTTGATTTTGTTTAAGGATTGGAAGAAAAGGATTGTCTCCTCTGTCTTTTTGACACTTCAGGTGGTGTTGGTACCCCAGAATTGATTTGCACCGATGCCCAGGAACCTAAAAATGGACAATTTCTAACCATGTACCCATTAATCCGTAAAGATGCAATAACTGCACTGCTCTTCCTTAAATTTATTATGAGTTTTTTTGTTTAGTTTTTTGTTTTCGTTTTGAAGAGTCCAATGTGAGATTATAGTTGGAACATCACTTTGCCAGTTTTTGGACTTCATCTCTAAGTTGTATCATTATCAAACTTAAGAGGGTGTTTGTGGTTTGAGTGAGATACAGTCGTTTACAAGTATAGAGAGCATAAAGGGGACTCAGCACACAACCTAGTGGGATGCCCTTGCTGAGTGTGAGGGCTGAGGACAGGTGAGGGCCCAGTTTAAGTCTGAGGGCAATTTGTCAAAACTTCCTTGATCCAATGACAAATGGATTGTGGAAAGCCTAATCCGGAACATTTTGTGATTATATCTGCCCGGAATGACTGCATTAAAGGCAGAGCTAAAGAAGAGCATCCTCACATTAGTCACTTGATGTCCCAGGTGGCGCAGTAAAGACAGCATCTCCTTAGACCTATTTGCTCTGTAAGGGAACTGGAATGGATCAAAGGGAGCTTAGACTAACTTTGTGAAGTTGTTGGACCAACTTCTCAAAAAATTTCATAAAGATACACAAATGTTCATTGACATAAATACTTGGACTAAGGATTTTGAGAAAGTTACTGGCTGTTGCAGGTTAACCGTTGCATTCTGTCATCTGAGTGCCTAAGTCAAAGTAAGTTCCCCTCTTGAATGCCCTTATGGTTGATATATGAAACCCTAACCCTAACCTGAAGCCTCACTGCTATTTGTACGGGTATGCTTGTATGAAAGGACATTAAGGTTCATGACTTGTAATTTAAATAAACAATGACAAAAAAAGGTTGAACCGCAATGTCTGCAAGAGTAATTTACTATGTTTGACAGTCACATAACAGTTTGACAGTTTTGTCAACTACCAACATGCATAGCTTTTACTTTACATTATTTCTGCATTCTATGATACTTGAATGTGGAGTATCCTTTTTGTCTAATTACCTAGTAAAGATTTATTTCTTATAACTTTTTACAAAATGGCCATATTATAACTGTTTTTTTTTTTTAATTCTCGATTAATGATATACCTTTATAAAAACAAATGTATTATTGTAAATCTATATAAAAAATTGAGTTTTAACAAATTAGTGAATTTTTAACCATTACATATTTTCATTATTTTATGTGTCCATAAAACCCCAGGAGTCTATAACATGTAAAAGTATATTTTTATATAGATAAAACAATTTGTGTATGTATTTATATATATATATATATAAAACCATTTACCCATTAATCCGTAAAGACGCAATAACTGCACTGCTCTTCCTTAAATTTATTATGAGTTTTTTTGTTTTTGTTTTGAAGAGTCCAATGTGAGATTATAGTTGGAACATATATATATATATATATATATACACATAAAAATTGTATATTGTATATATATATATATATATATATATATATATATATATATATATATGTATATAGATATATACTAGATTATAAATATAAATGGCTTATATTTCGACAGACACAGTTCCATGATAAATGTACTGTAGTGGGTAGAGATGAGACAGAGTGGGTAATGAGTTTTATTGAACAACAAAAATCTCCCCAATAAGGAAAAACACATTACTCTCAAACACTCGCTAGACTATAACAGATATTGATACTTCAGGCACAGTGCTAACTAAAACATTATGGAACAACATAGGATGACAAGGGACATACTGTAACAAGTAGAAATTGTGAGAACAAAGGGAGAAACGTGAAAAGAGGGTAACAAAACAGCAAGTGGGAAGAATGAACTAATAATGAGTTAACAAAGTCAAGACAACATGCGAGTGGACATGGCACACAGATTAATTAACAGCTCAATGATGTTTTGAAATGCAGTGAAGTATATGTATAGAATATAAATATAAAACCATATAAAATATGTATGAAAATATCAAATATAATATAACATCTTTGATGGTTATTTACTGCATTGAACTTTTGAATATATACATATATTTGTAAATTAACACACATCACTTATATTTATTCATTTACAAATCAGTCTGCATGAAAAAGTTCATAAGGCTCCCATGTGTCCTTCCACTTTGCTCCACTGAAAAACAAAATAAATTACATTTATAAAAAATAACAAGATACAAGTAAAACTACATCTCAGTAGCAGAATAATAGAAAATAAGGGAAATAAAGATTACACAAAGTTGTGTAAAACTGTAACAATATTTGTCAAATTTACAGCTTAACTTGAAAACTCTGGATGCAAAGCTTAGACTAAACATAATAATAATAATATTGTGGAAATCAATGTAAAAAGTACATACCAGCCAGAGCAAGGCTGCCAGCGCACCTTTGTCTCTTTCTTCCCCTGAAATTTAAAACAAATAACATTAACTTTTATTATATAACTATATTATTATTATTTTTAAAATATTTTTAGATCCCAAAGCTGCCTGATCCTTTGCAGAAACTCAAATACAGTACAAATAAAATAAACTCAATGTTACTTACATTTTTTGCTATTCTTATTCCAATTGTTTTTAGAACTGGAAAGTGTTCTTGGTTTAAATGCACTGGGCAGTCTATTAGGAAGAGAGCAAACAAAATTATATTACTATTTGAAAAGATCTGATGTATGTTTGAAAGCTTGTATGGATGGATGGATAGAAGATAGAAGGCATATTGATGTAGTAGGTGTACAATGATGGAAACAGAATCTTCCCTGCTAAGAATTCCATCACTCCGGTTCACAAGCATAAGGTATATTTTACATGCTAGGACCAGAATGGTATATGATTTTACCTAACTTCACTTTCAACAAAGGGAGCAAAAAAATAAATAAAATCAATTAACATTAAAGGGGTGGTTGATTATGATCAACCTTTCTAACTTTAGTTAGTGTGTAATGTTGCTAGTGTGTAATTGTGATGTTGAGCATAAACAACATCTGCAAAGTTATTGTTAATAGTTAAATGCTTCAAAAGTTCAAAGCAAAGGGAGATATTTTATTTTACAGAAATAACTTTTTAAAGACTACAACAAACGGCTAGTAGGGACTGCACGACATTCCTTATGTAAAATTTACATAAATCCATCGTGTGAAATGTTCATTATAACACACATTTAATGTATTTAATATTGTAATTAGCAGGCAAAAACAACATTAATTATTACCTTTAATGTTGTAGCGGATTTTGTTCAATTTTGAGGCAGACAGATGAAGGACATTGGCTGCTGTAGCAGAGGATTTTACAGCAGAACTAGAGTCTACC